CACATCCTTCCCATGTGAAGAATCGATCCCGTGCCTTCCGTGTGACAAAGGACTACCGCCCCTTAGACAGCATGTATCATATCGTGAGTTGTTTGATAGATTTAGTCACTGTTGCAACATAACATGAATGAATATCACCTTAACTATTTTATGTAATATATGTTGCATATTCATGTGTCTTTTTCACAAAAATGAAATAAAAACTTCGACACATTTTAGCAAACTAAAGGTTAAGCTACATTGTCAACCACACTAGATATTTCATCTCGCCTAATGCCTTTGCTTCTGGCATGTCACCACGATGTACACGGATATGCTTCAGTTCCGAGGCACACAGAGACACACACACACACAGAGGCAGACACACACATACACCCACGGAGAGACACACACACACACACACACACACACACACACACACACACACACACACACACACACACACAGGCACGTCGTTTATACGGCGTGACATGGTCCGAATCAAGCTCCAAATGAGACTCCTCCTGCAGCAACTGGCCCAGTTCGACTAACGTAGCGCGTGACCTTTGACGTCGACGTACACGTCTCCCGTTCAACATGTTCATTACACATTCCCTATTGGGCAAGGGTCAGGACTCATGGCTCGCCATTGCATTCTGGTGATGTTTTGCTGCTGAACGTATTCATTTAAGGATACTTTACATTCATGAGGTCCAATTATTGGCGCCAGCATTTTGTCTCTAAAGAACTGTACAGTTACCCGTCCGTGGACAATATGCTTTGGTGTTATGGCATTCACAGTAATCCTTCCCCATATCAAGACGGACCCATGCCCAAATATGTGAATCCTGACTCATCTGAAAACATTTACACGGAACCATTGGCGACTCCCCCAATTTCTACACTCTTAACATCGTTGTCGTATGGCCGGAATGCCTCGATTACACGTGGTCGCCGAGCGTGCAGACGATGTCTATTCGTCTGGTCAGTCCCCTGAACTCCGATGGCCTGTCGAATGTGACCAGCAATTTTAGTGCCTGTTGGAGTTCGATTTCTTAAAGCCTGGTTTCTGATTAATCGATCCTAGACTTGTGTTGCTGAGGCGCCCTGTGTGGAGCAGCTTGTTAAGATTTTCTGTCAACACAAACATGTTCCAAAGTCAGCAAATCACAGACTGCGACATATTGACCATATTGGCTACCAGCGTTGAAGCATGCCAAGAACCCGCAGGTGTATGAGCCCGCACGTTGAAGATCACAAATACTGCATTAAAGCAGTAGAGTGAGTGAGTGAGTTGGGTTTAACGTCGCTTTTAACAGTTTAACGCAGTAGAGAGCTTACGTGTAACTGTTCATAGTGCAAAGCAACAATAATAATGGGTCAGAGAGACTTGACGCCCTTTCACTTAAGTGAAATAATCAAGAATGGCCCCCTGCTCCCTGAGGAATTGAATGGTGCACGTGAAACGTTTCGGGTGTGTTGGGGCGATAGTGTTTGGTTCCGAAAGCGTCCTCTCCCCGGTGGTCGTTTTGCAAAGGTGATACTTTCTTCTGACGACCGATTATAATATCTCATGATTCTTACTTTAAATTTGTTTGTATGAGTATATGTTTACACATTTGCAATTCCTTATTCTAAGCCGAATCACATATTTACGTTTACTGCATATATCGATATTAAACACAAGACGCATCCTATCTAAATACACACAATGAACACTTCAAGTTTATAACATACATCAGCAAACACATATTACTAAACACGGATAATGGGATATGTACGTTTTAGCGAAATGCATTGTTTTAGCATGACGCATCATTTGTTTTGCAATATGTGGTGCATGCGAAAATGACGGTGCAGCCAGCCATTGTTTGAGAAAGTGATCAATGAACTACATGATCGACTGGTGACAAAGAAAGCTACTTCATATTAACCTTTAAAAAAGAACATAAAACAAATGGAAATAACGCTTAGTTGCCTTCAGTCGCAGCACCATTATAACCACATTGGGTATCCGACAGCCGTCCAAAGAGGGTTGAAGTATTGTGTTGTAGCCAGTATGCACAATGTCAGCGAAGGTGGCATCCACGGATAGGAAGGTTGCATGGACACATAGCCCTTCATCAGACAACATAGGAAGTCTGTGGACTGATTTTACACAGAATACAGGATGCCATGGTTTTAATAAACTCACACCTGGACGTAACTACAGAATAAGATGGTGAGTTGAATATATTAGTCCTAAATCCTAAAAATAGATAAGATTGGTACATATGACGTGAAGATCCGGGTAGAGAATCTCTCACAGACGGTATCTGAACATTACAAGTAATTGAGTAGTGGGCCCGTCAAGATCCGGGTTAGAATAGGTCTTCAGCAACCCGTGCGTGCCGTAATAGGCGACTATGCTTGACGGGAGAGGCGACAAACTGGATCGTATGGTCCAGCTCGCTGACTTAGTTGATGCATGTCATAGTATCCCAATTGCGTAGATCGATGTTTATGATGTCAATCACTGGATTGTCTGGTCCAGACTCGATTATTTACAGACCGCCATCATATAGCTGGAATATTGCCGAGTGCGGCGTTAAACAACAATTAAACAAAGTTAGTGATATGTCATGTATTGCGTTAGACATATCATATATTATAACAATATGTGTACTTACATTACGCCTCCATGTTCAAGGTTCATGCTCAAAGCGATAACTTAATAACGCCGGGCAATGGATCAGTGTGGGCTCGTTTATCATTCTGTGCTCCCCTGGGATCATACAACCTAAGCTGCCTGTAATGTGCTGGAAGGTTAACTTTCACATTACCACCTCATCCCACCGGGTACCTATTCACTGCTGGGTGAAGGCGGCGATGCTTGACGTAAGAGTATCCCCTACTGTTTATATATATATATATATATATCGTAGAAACCGCATTTGAATGTTATACATTAAACATAACATAGATCATTGGCGTTGGTAACCTATTATCGATCATTATTGTGACTGACAGCATCGTACGAACTACTTACAGGTCACAAATGATAATCGGTATAAACATAATAAATAAAATAGAAGATGACATGGAAATATTGTTGTTTAACACAGTTTTAATTGGCTAGTGCTTTCAACTCGTACCACGTATGAGTCTCATCAGACCATAACTGAATAACGGACATGAAAGCGCCTGAGAGTTAGAACTTTACTGTGCTGTAAATATATCAAAGCCCGTTCCCGATTTTGCTTTCCACATGAAAGGGAAATACTTAATAACTGTGTTTTAAAAGATACATATTTTCTCCCTTTCGTGTGTAATGCAAAACGCGAACGGTAACGGTAGACTCTTAACACTTGATGTGTGTTCCATCTACTTGGTGACCCGTGAAGATCCGGGTTAGAATAGGTCTTCAGCATCCCATGTTTGCTTTAAAAGGAATTATGCTTGGCGTAACTAAGGGGATCGGGTGGTCAGGCTCGCTTACTTGGTTGATGCGTGTCATCGATCCCAATTACGTAGATCCATGCTCGATTATTTACAGACCGCCGTCATATAGATGGGATGTTGCTGAGTGCAAAAAACAAACAAATTTAACACTGAGTTGGACCGATTGGCTAGCTTTATGAGAGAAAAAATTGGCTCGTCACACAAACAAAGCCGAGGTTTGATGCCCCACATTGGTACAATATGGAATGCCCATTGTTATGCCTTCCGCGATGATATTTAGAGAATATTGCTAAAAGTCTCGTACAGCTCTATCAGCTCTTTATTAATGCAACGAAACACGGAAATCTCCAAACAGATAGGCTCCAGGAAAGAACGTGTATAGACAAACAAGACTTTACAGATTACAACTTAACTATGAACATAATGTACACCTCTCCAACATGACACGCTGAGAAGACTGAATGATCTCCGTTGTTAAGAAACGTCATGGCACTATATCAGCGGATGTTTTACAGTTATAGTTTACCTGTACCCAAGTGTTACCTTACAAATATAATGACAAGGTCACTGTTTGTCACAAAATCTTAACACTTCGGAGAATATTTCATTTGATGTGTTCTTAAACATTATTTATAAACACATATGCCCAATTCAATTCTTTTTGAGCTTAGAAATCTGGGGCTTTGAATGTTTTGATGTCAGGTAAATTGAAGAAGTAAACTTGAACTACTTATATTTAAACCACACAAAGTGCACAAAGTCTGTTGAATGTTGGATGTCCTCGATGTAAATGTAGGTTATCTAGGAGTTACTGATCATGAATACTGGGTGAAATATCCAATTGTCATGTATAAAATATTCGATACAACACAAACGTCAACGCCAGAAAATAACCATTTTTGGATAGCTCTTTCTCGATTTCGTTGTAGCTCACAATATAAGTATATTGAAAATGGCAGATGCGTATAAAGGAATAAGAACATTTTAGATTATGTAACACTATGTAATTTGAATGAGAATATTACCTTGTACGTGTTTGTCTGTTGTACAGTGATTTAAAAGACCATGTTTAACTGAATCCAAATATAAAATATATTCCGATGAAAATGTTATAAGATGTTTTCTGTTCATAGTCCAAGACATGAAACACAGAAATGATATGATGAATTTGTAATTATAGTACTCATCAGTTATGAAGATTGATGCGACTATGAAATGTCTATTCTCCTTTTTCAAAAAAAGGTAATTTCATAGTCGTACGCCAAAGCATAGCGTATAATTTTACTCCATACACACCACTTGACCTTACAAAGTAACATGTCCAATTGCGGTCCTGGCGATGTCGGCAGGATTGTAATTCAGAGCCCGAACAACGGTGAACAACATAGGTAAAGAAGGATTCGTGGACTGAGAAACGTCGATTCCAGTTTTCATATAGACTAATCAAGGCAGTTGTTACTTGTTTGCCGAAACAAGAATTCATCATTATTCAACTTACACAACTTTGACATTACAGTGTTACATGGACAGTTGCGGTCCTGGTGATGTCAGCGTACATGTCCTATTCTATGACGAAGGAGTTGATGAACTACTACAGATACCCAGTGATCACCAACACAAAGATGGAGGTTCTCGAGGAATTGCCTTTCCCAGCTGTTACCTTCTGCAATCAGAGTCCGTTCAACCTGAGCAAAGTTAGAGCAGCTGATCCTCATCTTGAGACATACTTCAATAAAGTCAGTTTGTTGGGCCAATTAACAGGAACCTTGAGCTTAAACTGGAGCGAACCTGGATTTGATCGGCCTATTTATCGAGAGAGTCAGACCCTTGACTGGTGGAGAAACATTCACATGAGCCCAGAAGTAATGTTTTACATGTGTTTGATGAATAGTGTTCCATATAGTCCATGCTGGTCGTCGATGAAACCTGTGTTCACCACTTTAGGCTATTGTTCCACTTTCAACTGGAATGCTTCTGATGTAACTAACGTGCGAGTAACTGGATCAGAAAACAATCTTCTCATGTACGTCAAAGTTGACCAGTCCAACTATGTGCTTGGTTCTCAACTTTCAGCTGGAATGAAGGTACGCTACATGATACAGGACAATGCATAGACTGTATTATATTGGAATCGAGATTTGTTTCAATAATTACATCTTAACATTGAAAATGAAAGTTTTTTAACTCTGATTTACAGAGGTTTCCTGTCATGTTTCACATTGGTTTTAATCAAATAAATGCAATCGAACAATGATAATTATGAGTTAGTTTTGTCTTTGTATAATCAATAGCTATGTTTCAATGATTGAAGGTGATCCTGCACGATCCACGTACTCATCCAGACGAAGCGCGAACCTCTTTCCTGGCAGCTCCAGGTTCAACAACTAATGCTGTTGTTCAGAGATCAACGGTACGTAACTGAATAATAATTATGATATCCAGTACCAGTGTGGCTGGGGTAAAATCCTACCAGTAATCATGTGTTGGTTGATATTTTGTATCTCGGTGAGTGTTCCATCATGCTCACACGTCATGTCAACCACAGGTTTCCCTGTTTTAGACTCGAATATTATCAGGTCCTCTTGACAAACCTTAAATAGTGATGGTCCCAGCGCAAATCAACATTCACGTTATCTATGACATACAAAGCACACATTTCATAACAGTACTATGAAGCTTTCAATCTGTCATTCACAACCAAACGCAAAACCACTTTTGGCTTATCTTTCCCATTTGACAGCTGAACCGATTTGTTTTGTGGCATTCGTTGAGCCTAATATGTTCAGTAGGCTGAAAGAACGACTTCTCGGATCAGCGAACATTGAGTTTAATATACAGTGATGTTTGCTTTATGTACCCAAACCACAATGTTCACCATCATAACCGTAAATAACACCTACGCCATGCCACGGATTGCTAAACATCAAGTATAGACACCGTTTGCATGCTGCAAGCAGGAATAACCCAAAATAAAGCTGCCAGACAGTTTCATGTTCATCGAAACACAAATTTTTCAATTTGGAGACGTTATCTACAGCAGGACAACACACGTGACTTGCCACGTGCTGGTCGTCCACGTGTGATGTCACGTTCAAAAGTCAACTCTATTTAGTTGGTTCATCTACGGAATCGATACAAAACTGCCACATTAACACATCGAATAATTCTTTGGTTGAGACCAATTCCTAGCAGAACCGTAATCAACCGGTTGAAGGAGCTCAACATCCGGTCCCAACGTCCAGCGATACGCCCAATTATGCTTATTATGTTGTTATCCGCAACAACATATCCTTAACAGCACTTTTCCCCTTGTATAATCAGCTTGACAAATATACCAGGGGGGAGAAATATGCCATTCTCTTTACTGTTTTATCTCTGGAACTTGGACGAAATAATCTACTATAAACCTATTATTCACCAATGAATTTGGACTTGAATATGATATAATGACACCTGTTCTGTTGCAAACAAATCCTCAGTCCTCAAGTCCTCATCGCAGAATATTTTCGTTTGTACAATATACTCAAAGAAAAAGGTAATCTTCTTCATGTTTAAGAATCTATATAAGTCTGCCTTTCATATCATTGGGCTGAAGATAAATGCAGTGGCTTAGCTGCAAATGACATTGTATATATAATACATATAATATATATATAATCCAAAACTGGGTCCCACAGGAGATATCGCTTGGGTGTGAAGGGTGTGAATGAAATTGCATCACAATGCTATGCAGACCATTGTGGCGTCATTGGTCAAATGACATCACTCATGGCTCTGCTACTGAAGTTGTTAGCAGTACGTTTTACACTAATGACACTGCTCATTACTGTCTACAAACTGAAAAGGTTGGTCGAATGATGTTCAATGATAAATAAAATCTCACCCTCGTGTCTTTTGAGATCAAATGCATCAACACTCGTTGATAAAAAATGGAAAAACTCGTGTTGATATATTTGTAACATTGTAGTTAAGCTATTCTATGTATGCAAGTTCTGTTACAGTACCAGTACTTACCTCCGCCCTACCAGGCCTTAAAGAACCGAACATGTCTGGACACATTGGCGCCCTCATTTAACAACACCCTGCAGTACTTCGACACCTACACATATGAAAACTGTCTACGAGAGTGTATCACAAAAATGACACACGGTGAATGTGGTTGTATCACACCGAGTGATAATGGTAAGCTAAACGATCATGCGAATTGCAATTCAAAATGTATTTTTATATACTGAACCGCAAAATAAACGTCACTACAAGAAAATAATTCATAAAACGAATTGTTGCCAAACAACAGATCACAGCAACGATATCAGGCCAACAACAGCATGCAGTCTCCCTACAGACCGATGTCAGACTAATGTCAAACACGAGATATCTAAAAACAATGCATTGATATTTCAATGGGAAATTTTCATGAATTATTTTCATGAAGTGACGCATGAGCGGCTTGAAGTGTATAAGAAGGTCATCTTCAATAATGTTGTTATATTTATTTACTGAAATGCTCATTCTGTCCTTGTCTTTTCAGTATTTGTGTACATGTATGCAGAATTTGGTATACCTTTGACAAATCTTCCTTAGATTATGGCTCTAATTTCAGGTACTATTGGACAATATTGTTCTATTCATAACTTCACGACATGTTATGGTCCTGCATATGGTAAGTACGAACCTGTCCTACCTTAAATCATTAAATACACACACAACAGACTGACTAAAATGAATAGGCGTCTGCCCTGAGTCACCGGGTCAAAATCAGGATTATTTGAAGGAATGACTGCAATACAGACGCTAAAAATAATATACTTGAATGTTTTATAATTGGATTTAATCGATATTTTACAGTTTTACATTTCTGGTCTATAATGTATTGTCAACTTATGATGACAGAAATGAAGTTGACACGCAGGTGAACCAATTCATTGTACGAATATTCAATGAAGTGATATTAAAACGAAAAACGTTATCATACAAAACTGAAAAACAGACACGTTTCATTTAAATGACACGTCCTACCTTTATTAGTGTTAACCGAAATTACCAAAACATACGCCTTCCTTCCAAGTATCAATGTAAGGTAAGACTCAGATAAACTGTCTGTTTGTCTGTCTGCTGCATTATGTTACCGATAGGGGCAAGGATATCGCGGAAATTAGGATCCTCAGTATGTTTCACTTAGAATTCGAATTGGTGCTTCTCGCCTATTGGTTTGGTTGTGGCCACACTCCCATGCTTGTCACTGTTAGCATAACCAATTGAAATTTAGGTCTAAGTCAACGAAATTGTGACATCGTTTTGACAATAGTTTCAGTGCACTTGTATTTCCTGTTAAATCATCTCACAAAACAAAATTACTTGAGACTTTCTTATCCTTTGAAGTGTATTATGTGAACAGGTAATGCTTGTACAGATGCCTGGTGTTGCTACATAATATACCGTAAAGGACAATGATATAGAGTTTACTCAGTTTCCACATCATTCACAGTAAACATCCCATACATATCATAAAAAGGTGTAGTGTGAAACTACTATAAAGAAACATATTTGATAAATGTAAGTAAACTAAGGTGAAATTAGAATACCATTATATACATGTCACCATTAAATAGCATGCATAAATCATTGCTAAAATCATACAACATAATCATATATTCAAGCACTGTTTTGTTGGTCTTAAGGTTTAATCATTTTTTATACGGATATTGATGTCCCACGTTTTGACATGCACTTATATTCTGCAAATAACTACTGCAATATTACATGAAAACTTTATATGCATTAACATCAAGTTGTTAATGATGACACATTTAAGGTATTTTTAGTTTTACATGTTTCAGAATATGTGATGAGGAATGCGACGATTCAGAAAGAATGTGCTTGTCAACTTCCCTGCTCATTCGCGACATATGATGTTAAGGTATCAGCTTCAAAATACCCATCAGATGTCTCTGTGAACATGCTCCTGGATCTTAAAATTGCTCCAGATGAGGAATATATCAGGTAATTATTTTACGTGCAATTCAGTAATATATGATGTTGCTTTGCTATGGAACGTTGCCCAGGATCCGATCACCGTTGCTTTAAGTCCAAAATTTGAATCTTAATCACAAGAGATGCTTAACAGATGTCAGCAGAATACTTGCAGAGAACAGGGAAACAATCATTGGAAAGTCTCATCCTATACGTCGCTAGTCAACGCCACTTTTCGGATATTGCTGTGTATTGACATTGCAACTTGTGGCGCAATGATGGAACGTGTAATGATTCATTGATACAATCCAAGCTGCTGTATTTTCTGCCCTCTGAAGTTTATACAGTGATATTGAAACTCCATGACATTTAAAATGTCCCCACATTCCGTACATGCTAATGTCACTTCACTGGCTGCCAGTTCAGGCCAAAATAAAGTTTAAAGGATTCTGACTCACATTTTAGTGTCAGCATGATATAGCACCACGTTAATCGGTCAATGGAAGAGAATTATCAGTGTAACGTATAAAGCATATTAAATTTGGCGTAAGTGGCAACAGAGCTGTTAAAATAATATGAATGAACCACTAAAATCAGTGATGACACCAGGTGTTCACGTACAGGGAAAGCATGTCTTTTCTCTACCGGTAGCACCCGCCATGCACACAATTTGCATTAAAAGTATTTATTGCCTGACGTCGCACAACAGTACTACTGCCATGCGACGGCGGCCTGTGAACAATCCAGAGAATCAAGTGATCGATGCACCAGAAAATCCAGTGACACGATTAAGATACAAAGTTCCTAAAAGGTACCTAATAGCTACTCGTGTGGTAATCTCCATGGGAAATTCTTCCGATGTAAATAATGCAAGCATCTGCATAGTTCTATTAAATTTAACGACACAAATCACTATCATTTCAGAGAAAACTATCTCGAAATACGGATTTACTATGCGGATCTGGTCGTCCAATCAACAGAACAGATTCCACGGTATACAACAGAGACCATCATAGGTTAGTACACATACATGTGTATGTCACATCCATCAATATTACTTCGTTGCATCTGTAGTGGGCCATGCATGAATTACGAAGTACAGATTCACCATTTCATATCAATGATGATGTCCAATCCTCGCCGTCTCTGAATTGAAACCAACAGCACATTCATTTTCATCACGGGTATTATTCAAAGTCGATAATGATTAAATAAATGCTCATATATACACGTACACCATGCCAAAAGTACATTGGTTAACACATGTAAATTTTCAAAACAATATTGCCATTTCACTGCGAATTAAAAAGCTCGCACTTATCAACAGTTATATATTGTTCCACAATTTTATCACTGGCACACCAGGCGCAAATTTAAAGGGAAACTTTGAATACGTTTGGAAGTTAAGGTCTATTAACGAAACCATATTCGACAGAAATAAGAGGAACACTTATGACTGGTTCACTGATTATTTGAAAATCGAAGACAAGCATTAATTAACAACAATGCGAATTATGAGGAAGGGAATATAAAAGCAGGTTACCTCAGGGTTAAGTCCTAGGGCCACTTTTATTCATGATTCATATAAATGACATTGTACAGAAAAGTAATTTATCACATATGAAACTATGTCTCTATTTGTTGTCATATAGCCTATACGATAACATTTGCAGACGTTTTAATTTTTTTTGTGTTGAAACAATACATGGATTGGCAGACAAATGCAAGATATCCTTTGTCAAAAGTCAAAAACACAAAACAGAAACAATGCCAATTGTAACCAGGTCAATGCACCATTTCCCATGGGTGATAAATTAAGTTAAAAGAGTATTATATTTACAATCATGTAATACCTGTGGATGTCTGTCCAATTACATTAACAGCACCGCAGTGTAACCGAGTTGGGATTCCGGGTGAGAATACGTCCCCGGCGATGTATGCTGGTCTAAAAAAGGTGACGTAATGGATCAAGTGATCAGGCTTTGTGATTTGGTGGCATCGCATCCCGACAGAGTGGATAGTTGCTCATAATATCAATCACTTTATAATCTAAACACGATTACGTACATGTTTTCGTTATATATTCCGTTGCTGAGTGCGGCGTTAAACATCAATCAAATAAAGAAACTGAATAAAATAGTCTTAAAATCAGCTTGTGTATATATTTTGTGTTGCCAGGTAATCTGGGAGGTCAGATGGGCATCTGTCTCGGAGCCAGCATTCTGACTCTCACAGAACTGGGAGAGTTCCTCCTGTTTCTTTGTTTGACCATCTTCAGAAGACGTAAACACGGCGGCGAAGCCAAGGATATCAAACCCACTGAGCACTGAAGCCAAAGGCATTAGTGGAAGCTGTGGTGCCAATGAAGACCAGATTGGATTTCAACTTCTTTATTATGTTGACGTGTGGACTTCTATTTTCTTTCACAACTAAAATACTGTAGCAGCTAATTATCCGGCATGATGATGCCTAGAATGGGTGAGCACGGAAGGAGCGGACTTTGCAGATTTAATGTACTTTTAGCAAGTCGCAAATGGCTATACACACGAATACGCATGTCATAACTTTACTTACACACTGTACATTTTGTACAATTGATGGTTTTGTCACATCGACAAATACTTTTTAAACATGCATTACTTGATAGATGTCTTTTTTGTCACCCGCATGTGTATTCATCTTTCATTGACCCATCTGACCCCGGGAGGATACAGTGGAAGATAATGACATTATTAGTCAGTGATTGATTTAAGAGCTGATTAAAAGAAGATCGGGTAATCAGACTCGCTAGCTAATCAGTATGCTACTGTACACAAAACACGTGGGTCGTTGCTCATAACTTCAGCCACTGGCTTTTCGGTCCAAAACGATTATTTTGAAGTCAAGTGTGATATGGGTTGAGTATTGTTGATCATGTTTTAATTATGCAACGAGACAATTATTCGGTCAAAGGAACTTAACCAGTGTTAGCTTTCGCTTTAAGTCCGTTGGGTTTTCACACGTTTTCAACGAGACAATTATTCGGTCAAAGGAACTTAACCAGTGTTAGCTTTCGCTTTAAAAAACTAGAACGTCCTCAGCTTTCTTTCTTTTGACGTGTGCATAATTATACGTCACACAGGATAAAGGACAGGTTGATTATATTTTGATTAGATGCTCTCATTATTAATATACACAAAGAAAAAAAAGTTAAGCACACCCTAATATATTTCATTACTGTTTGGTCCCAATATTTGCAAGAGCCATGAAAGATATAATTACGGGAAGAATAATGTCTTCTCGAGATGGTGTAATCAGTCATGCGTGACGAAAGCTCACGTGCCATGTATGGTATGCCCGTGCAGCATGCTACCCTCGAATATCTCTAAAAGCAGTATATCCAAACGTATATTACCTCGGTTTTAAACAGTTATTCAATGACGTTGTGTGACCATGGCACCAAGGCGATTATCAAGATAGCAAATAATCGGCTTGCATAACGCAGGCATGTCTTGCAATGCCATTGGTCGGAATTTGGGGTATCATCACACTGTCGTAAGGCATTTAGTCGAGAAACATGATCAGAACGGTGATGTACAGGACCGTCCCAGGTCCGGAAGACCTCCTGTGACGACACATCGCGAAGACAGGGACCTTCTTCGTCTCATACGCCGAGAACCCTTTTCAACAAGTACTCGTCTGATACAGCTGTGGTTGCCCAATCGTCGTTTCAGCATCAGGAAACGACAGAAAGCAGCAGGACTGAGGGCAAGACGAGTCATAAAGCGTCCCTTGTTGAGAGATCCCCACAAAACTGCTCGTTTAGCATTGTGTATTACGCGACAGCACTGGAATCTGAGAACTTGGAGACGGATCCATAATGGTCAGACGAAAGTCGCTTTCTGCTCCACGTCACTGGTGGATGAACGAGAGTTTGGAGGCACCGGAACACGGCCCTACAGCCCCAGGAACATTATCCCGACTGTTGCATACGGCGGGGACTTGGTAATGGTTTGGAGGTGTATCTCACATGATTGCAGGTTGGATTTGGTCAGCATAAGAGGCAACTTAACAGGGGATCAGTACATCCGGGGCGTTTTGAGGCCAGTCGTCGTTCCTCATTTTGACAACCGACCTCTTGCTACTCGACCTCAGTACACGGATAACATTGCCAGACCTCATTGTTCGCATGCAGTCGTGGATAACATGAGGGCCAATGCAATAACGACTCTACCCTGGACAGCAATGAGCCCAGATGTGAACCCCCTTGAACATGTTTGGGATATTCTGGCGCGGCGCATACAGGCATGAGATCCTCCCATACAATATTTACGCCATTTATAAGCAGCATTGCATCAGGAGTTGTTGTTGACCCATCAACAAATCCAACGTCTGACTGGAGGCATGAGACGTAGGGTGGAATGCGTCATCCGGGCACGTAGCGGTTATACCCGCCACTGATCTGTTTTACGTGTCATGTCAAGTGGAGATCTAGACTTTAAGGAACATTTTCACATGAAACATCAAACGTCACTCGTTTTCTTAATCCTGCAGCTCCATACCTTTTTGAGGTATTGTCTAAGGTCAAAAACAGTACCTGCGTTATCATGATGTTTTTGTCAATCACAACTCACCAATATCTTCTTTATTTGTTGTCAAATGTGTGTAATTCTATCCGGTGACATTGGCATCGCCCAGCTCATGTGGTCAGTCAAACCATGCCATGATTTTTGCCATTTGTCATGGTTCAGAAATAGGGGGGTGCTTAACCGTTTTCTTTGTGTATAAAACTGTCATGAAATCGTACCTTTGTCTCTACTATTGACTCATCGTACGGCATTCAACTGCAGCAATATGTGCCAAATGCACCCAACATACATCAGAAACTACAATTTTAGATTTTCAACACGACACAATATTGATCAAGTTGTGAAGTGAAATCCGAGATTGTTCTCGACGATTGTTCAGTATTAATATGAGACATACATAATAATAAATAATAAAAAGTTTTATTGGTGGTATTACACAACGATAGATGGAAAATATGGAATTCTAGACTGTAAAAGGGTCATACGATTGTTCCCTTGTTTTGTGTCAACTCCACTTTATTCGCATGTTTTCGCCGTACGTAAACGTTTATCACGAACAGCAATGTAATGAATATGATCTGAGCAATGTTCTCTGAGTTCTGTGTTTTGTGATAGCACATCAATATATTGACAAAAACGGTCCAATGTTCATCACAGACTTGTGTGAAGCCTATATTGTTGGAGGACTACACTGAGGAGTATCTGACAGTAATGTACATGTATACCGAGCCAGTGTTTTTTGTAATCTCACCTTGACTACCACTAACGTATAATCACATGGCGGTTGTCTTCCCTCAGAGGATAAACAATTCAGTCGACTGTCAGGCGGAGAGTTATGGCGCAAAAATAGTAATCTACCCGTCTTGAGTTCTACTTATCCAGCACGGGGTGTGTGAACTGAGGAATGAACAACTGCAGCCAGACAGAAATGATCACAAACTAAATTATTTCCTATTTCCTCTTTAGTAATAACAACTACATGTTGCAGACACACGTGACGTTGCTAATGAATAGTTTGCATACTCGTATATGCTAGGGGTCGGCGTATGGTTCTCAGTAGGAAGTGACAACTTGGAGACGATAGCTTCCGGTATTTACAATTTTACTTTATGCATGTAGATGTATACATACAAAAGTGGTTGTTGTCATTGGGCCCCGGAGCACCCAGCCTTACCCTAGCTTAGATAAGGGTAAGACCTTTCTTCTCTCTCTTTCTCCCTCTGCCTCTCTCCCTCTGAGTTTCATCTGACTGACTGATATAGAAGATTTAACGTGCGCTTTCCGACTGCAGCGTATTTCGCACACGGTGAGTTTCATCTCTGGACCAAGGCTTATATAGCCAAGGTCACCTCACATTTAGTAAGTCATAAATATATAAAACAACAGTAATTCATGATGGCAGACAGTCGATGTACAATACAATGGGGATTAACAATTGGGATTAACATCTTATAAATAACGGCAATTAAGTTTTTCAAGGCATATAGATGTCATGGCTCCAGGGTAATTAGCCTTTGGAATTAAATGTTCATTCAAACAATGGTTGTCGTAAATCAGTCGCTATGACAGTAACACTATGCAAAAATGTACTTGAAAGTGTCTCAAGGGACTCGGAAAACTTTAAGGTGGCTCTAATTGGGAGATAAACATTCTGATTTGCGGGTGTTATTGAGTATTCCTTGCTTAACGATTTCATTCGGAGCCATCCGTGTCTAATTATATGAAATGAACCTACACTCTTCAACAAAAGAAACGCACAGGTAGTATGTCGTTCATTGAACCTGACTACACAAACATTTCCGCAGCCATTGTCGAATTGCAATGTCTTAAACGGCATTGTTTTCTAGCTTTTCAAAAATGTCATGGAGGAAAACAGTAAAGCAAAATGCACGTGCACGTTATGGCATTCGTAACTCGTGGTAGTGGCTATAAAAAGGCAAGCATAAGCCAATAATTTGTCATTCAATTGTCAACATTTTTCAAGTTCGAAAATGCCGAACGCAGCGCTGCCGATCGGAACATCGCCATTGGACGTATCCAAAGAAGAGAATCGCAGTCTTCTGTTGCGCGTCACTTCAACGTCCACCACAGCACCATTTGCCGCCTTTGTGACCAATACACACAGTTCAATTCCTAGGCAGACCGTCCAATAACCGGCCGACCAAGAGTTACCACCCCTGCACAGGATCGCTACATTCGGCTGTTCCACCTACGTCATCGCAATGCCACAGCTACGGAGACTGCAGGACGCATCCCTGGTTTGAGGAGGATATCGGACCTGAACCATCTTCGCGAGGCGGGAATCCAACCAAAAGACAGTTATCGTCGAAAGCGACGCTTGGGGTAGTGCCATACCTTACAGCCTTGGAATTTGAGAAACTGGAGACGCCTGTCGTTTGGCGATAAATTACGATTTCTTTCTTCACCGGCGAGATGGAAGACAACGTGTTTATCATCGTCGAAATGAGCGTTTTGCACCATATTGTGTACTTAAATTGGACAAATTCGGTGGCGCTAGTGTCATGGTGTGGGGGGCCATATCCTACACCACGAGATTTGACTTGGTTGTGGTTCAGGGAAATTTGACAGCAAGTCGCTACATGAATCAAATTCTTCAGCCTCACCTTCCAATCATGACCGCCAAAGGGAGCTCAACGGACAACGCTCCACCACACACAGCTCGTGTCATGGTAAGATACCTCCATAATGCCAATATCAACGATTTGCGCTGGCCGTCGAAATTATGTCGAAGTTATGTGTGAACATCAAACACGTCTCACGCGTATGAACCGCCAGCGTGTTCTAATGGTAGAGCGTCTTTCCAGAGAGCGGAAACTTCGGGGATCGATTCCCGCCCGCGTCATACCAAAAGACGTAATAAGATGGTACTTGTTGTTACCCTGTCTGGTTTAGGGGGCTAAAACAAGGACTGGACGTCTCGGAGTCCGTATACAGTGTCTGATCAGTGGGGTATTCATGTTAAACTGCGGCATGGTATCTCAGTGGGCTAGCACTATAAATCGGCATCAGTCCGGACTAGTACAAGCAGCCACACACACACACGCGCATGTATGTCGCTATGCAAGTGTAATAATCTTGGACGCGACGTAAACCCCATTTCACCTCACCTCACCTCGCTTTGTGATTAAGGGGCTGAAAGAAAGACTAGTTAGTCTCAGAGCATATTGTGTCTGAGCGGTGACCTCATGTTAAAATGCGACATGGTATCTCTGTGGGCTAGAACTATAAAATCGTCATTAGTCCGGACTAGTATAAGACGCCACACACGCACGTATGTCGCTGTATAAGTGTAATAATTTTGAACGCGACGTAAAACCACATTTCACCTCGCATATTATAATTAATCGTATGCATTTATTTGCGTGTGCTCTCCGATACCCCAAAATTTGTTTTGCTTGTTGCCAATGAAAATCAGAAAAGAAATCAGAGTTAGGTATAAAGCCATGCAAACAGAACATACTTTCAGACGAACAATGGTCACTAAAGGAAGCGTTTATGAATCAATTCGGAAACGTTCTAATGTGCAGCCACAAACATCAGGGAAATATGTTTGAATTGTATATTATTAAATGTATGTCAGGTTTTCCACCTGAGTCACAATTGGTTACCAACTTGATTGACACAAGATTGGACACAATGAGCATGGATTGTTAGATCGCTGTTAGATCGCTTGATTCAATTGATGCAACGAAAATTTATTAATATTTAACTGACAATACATTCAATGGTTGTGGTGATATTTAATGTGTAATTGTTGCTAGATATGAAATAATTTGTTTCATGAAACGTTTTAATGACTTATACATAGTAATAGTGTGTAACGATTGTTTAACGTTTGTGTCCGCTTGGTAGGAGCTAACAACCACAACAATGGGATGACACTTGAATTTACGAGCTGGATATTTAATGAGAAAATTAATATTTAATTAGAATTAAATCTACTCCCACAGAACACAGGTACACTTATATATTACGCAAAGTGTTATCTAGAGTAACGATATCACTTTATTGTCACTTTTGCAAAATCTAATAAACCTTTAGAATCAAGCAAAGCTTATCAAATAGTTAATAGAACGACTGATAAGTTTAATGGTTTATCTATAAAGAGACCTATGTCACCAATGTCTAGATGTGAAAATCAGCGCCGCGTGTGTAACTAAGCCACACTAGGCAGTGATGGTAACCATTATCTATTAGGTTGGTATTTGAAATAACATTTGGTTGAGCAGACAAAGAACAAATATTTCCCTTCCATGATTATCATAAGTTAAAAAAAAGAAGACATATATTCTGTTACAAACAATCGTTACAATACGCAACTCTGTACTCTACTTTAGTTTAATGACAAACAATTTCTTGCTGTGCTCTAAAAGAATACCTGGACTATACCATCATAACCAGCAGCTGAATCCGCCATCAGGTCATATGGAAACCTTCCCATTGACCAGTTTCAAGAACACAAGGTAAGGGTAAACAACGGTTTATCGATTGCTAGATCTATGACAACAGTGACAGAACCATTCAGACCACACTAGTTATCTGACAGCCGACCGGTGAAAGTGTACAGCACCATGTTGTAACAATGTCAGCAAAGGTTGCATCTTCGGACAGGGGAGTAGGATTGACAGATAAATCTTCATCTAGTGACAACATTGGGAGTCTTTGGACTGATTTCACACAGAATGCAGGTTTCCATGGAATCAATAAACTCACACCTGGACATAACTACAGACTAAGATGGTGAGTAGAATATATTACATGTCCTAAGTGTAGAGACTACATTTGAATACATTGGACATAACATGGATCACTGGCGTGTCAGTTTAATGTAGTGGTAAGAGTAGCTGTATTGCTGCCATCAGTTTTGGTCCCAATTCATGTGTAAAATCATGGCATGAAAGTATAGGTTACAATGTGATGAATCACCTAAACCCTACTTTTAATGCATACAGATATCATGGAATGTGTATTGAATATGTACATTCTGAGATAACCGTATTTTATAGAAACGCATTTAGTCTTTCGTAAGTCCCTTTTTAGTAACGTAAAAACATTATCGAGCTTCGGGTATATTCTTGTCACTGCTGAGTAATTGATTTGATGGCTAACAATGGATCGTCAATGGTTTCATACCCGAAATGGGTACAATATAAAAAGACAATATAAAGTGTTTCACGCTGCGATAAAGTGGAGATTTCACGTAAAGTGGAGTACATGCATCATTTGATGTAACGCATACTTAATTCGCATTTAATTCGCATGACAGATTTGCCTTGTCGCTGTGCAGGATATCTGTTTGCTTTTAGTTATCCCTTTTCCAAACGGCATGACGGCCGAGAGAAACTCGAAACAAACGTGACGTTTTGTATAATAGTGTAGCTTCCCGTTGATAAAAAGCAAGATGGTTTGCCGCGAAAGGAGATCACTAACAAACTTATAAAGTTATCTAATGGTACTTGTCTTTTTGTCTACATGGTAGTTACGCCACTGTCTAAAAGGAAGGTTACAGTTGGAACTATATTGGCTGTTTTTAATATCCGACTTACTACTCCACGAGATGGTGACGAAATAAATTAATATGCACATTTCAGGAAAATGTTCAATGTTTAGATGCCGTTTGTGAGAGACAAAATGATTATTTATATTTTTAATGACAGAATTTAAGAATGACTTATGATAAAGACATTACCACGCTTGTATATTTTGGAATGGTAAATATCCTGTGTCAGGAATAAACAAGGTTCCATTTCTCATGGAAACTAATACAGGGAGTTTGTTACACATACGCCGACATCAATTTTCAACGTACACAACTTTGACATTACAGTGTTACATGGACAGTTGCGGTCCTGGTGATGTCAGCGTACATGTCCTATTCTGTAACGAAGGAGCTGATGAACTACTACAGATACCCAGTGATCACCAACACGAAGGTGGAGGTGCTCGAGGAACTGCCTTTCCCAGCTGTCACCTTCTGCAATCAGAGTCCGTTCAACCTGAGCAAGGTCAGAGCAGCTGATCCTCATCTTGAGACATACTTCAATAAAGTCAGTTTGTTGGGCCCATTTACAGGACCCTTAAACTGGAGCGAACCTGGATTTGATCGGCCTATTTATCGAGAGAGTCAGACCCTGGACTGGTGGAAAAACATTCACATGAGCCCAGAAGAAATGTTGTACATGTGTATGATGAATAGTGTTCCATATTGGCCTTGTTGGTCGTCGATGAAACCTGTGTTCACCACTTTAGGCTACTGTTCCACTTTCAACTGGAATGCTTCTGATGTAACTAACGTGCGAGTAACTGGATCAGAAAACAATCTTCTTCTTTATGTCAAAGTTGATCAGTCCAACTATGCGCTTGGTCATCAACTTTCATCTGGGATAAAGGTACGTTATAGGATACATGACAAGGCACAGAAATAAAGTTTGTATTCAACGGATATTTTTTCATTACACTTAAACATTGAACAGGAAATCGTGTGTAGACTGACGAAAGAACAAGTAATGAACAAGCACTGAGTATGAATTCCTTAACTGTGAATAACATGGGTTTGCTGAGATTTTGAACATTCTTTTCCACCACATACATACTATATTTGGATCGTAATCGTTATAAGGTATTTTGTGTATAGTCAGCAACTATTTCTTCAATTATTAAAGGTTATCCTGCACGATCCGCGTATCCATCCCGATGTTGCGGGTACCTCTTTCCTGGCAGCTCCAGGTTCAACAACTAATGCTGTTGTTCAGAGATCAACGGTACGTCATTTGAATCGTAGTTCGCAGAATATTAAATCCAGTGTGTATGATTCTGGTAAAAGCTTGCCAGAAATGGTGAGTTGGTTGATACGTGTTACCTCAGTGGGTGGGTGTAATCGTGCTCTTATCGCTGTTGACCACATGTTGGCCTGTTCTGACTCGAGTATTAGCAGGTAGTCTTGGAATGCTGCTGATTGTATTAACATTTCAACTTTCATCTGTCTGTGACGTGGTCTTATTAATATATATTTCTCTCGCTGTTGTGAGTAACTGTTTAACGCCGCTATATACAGTATTTCAGTTCGATCACGACGTATCTACTTGGTTCGGGAACAATATGACGTCTCTCATTGATTGAAGGAACGATAGACCTTGAAATGAGTTACAAATGAAGATTTCGAAGTATTGGGAATTGATATAAAACTTGAGCTTGGATAAATTACTGGCAGATATTTCTCCTGTATTCATAATTGGTGTTTATGTAATCACATGAATAATAAATTATCTTCATTCATCTGGTAGTTAATTATTAACATATTACTACACAAGATATGTCTTGGGATTTGTAAAGATTTTATTCAATCATAAATCCTTATCCTACGCTGGTTATATTTTATAAAAAAATCTATACATGCTTTATTAATTAATTATTGTTAGTGTAGCCTGTATATCATGAATAAGGACGACATCAATTATATGATTTCATATTACTTTTGCTTGTGCGATAAATGTGGGAATTGAAAATAATAACAAATAAATGTCATCATCACATAATATATTTAAATACGCAAAGAATATGTAATCATGCCATAGATAGAATAGTTGTGGACAGCACCAGACCACTTCCGGCCTATGTTAATTCTATAGAGTATAAGGTAGCCTTTCAAGACCTACTTCCACGTGCTGGTGATGTCAGAGGGAATATGTGTGGCCTGGAGTGATGTAACGAGGTAACTGATAGCGTCTGCGCCCACCATTTACCTTCATTTTGAATTTCCTACTAAATAGAATAAACAGTGTTTACGACTTTGTTACAACATTAAGTATAAATTACACAACAAGAATATCCATTTTCTCATTCTCTCTCACATCCACTTTCGGAGTTCCCGTTCCCGTTAGTAGCAGGTTGCCTGGATGTCCTCACCATCACATTGTTTCACACGATGGACTGTCTTGAAAATATGTTGACCTACCGGTTCACATACACAAGGCACGGTAACGGTGGGGTGTGATAATCAGCAGTATAAAAATTGAATTTGAACCTCAACCCTTTATTTCAATAAGGTAGCAGAACTTACAATTCAGCACAGAAAATAACAAGACATACAACCTAGTAAATAGTAAACTTCTGGTTTATTGCATTTAGCGACGTTTCGATGTCGATTCATAATCGTTAGCAGGCTGGAGTGCTTCAACCAAGTTACGAGAGGTATATATATATATATATATATATATATATATATATATATATATATATATATATATATATGATAGGATGTGATTAGCAGCAGATTAACATTAACAACAATTATTGGATAACAAGTAGCACAAAGATAATTGGAAGAAGTCAGGTGCACAGTAAGAAGAACAGTACGGATTGAAAAGGATTGAACAAACTGATTGGTATACTAATAAAACTAGTTGAACAAGCTGATTGAACACAAATAGTTCATTTTATACCAAACCTCGTAAATAACATGTCATGTTCTGTTACAGTACCAGTACTTACCTCCGCCCTACCAGGCCTTCAAGAACCGAACATGTGTGGACACGCTGGCGCCTTCATTTAACAACACCCTGCAGTACTTCGACACCTACACATATGAAAACTGTCTACGAGAGTGTATGACAAAGATAACATACAACATATGTGGCTGTATCGCATTTGCCGATAATGGCAAGTTCATAAATCATGCGAAATACAAATAAGAATGAGTTTTCTTCGATGATGTTATTATCTCTATATTTGTTATGCATTTTTTACTGGAATTATCATCCTTTCCAGTTGTTATAAGTAAAACGGATATGACTTTTAGTACTTGAAGGCTAAAAGGTAAACACTATTTGACGAGCTTTTACCATTGTTCTTCGTCTTCCACTGAAATACACTTTCAGCATATTTTGCCTGCATGCATATTACTGTGTGAGGGATTCCACTTAAACACTGTGTTCGTATGACATATGTAAAATGTGAGATTTGTGAGATTTTCAATCGTGCTTGTCTTTATTTGCAGGAACTATTGGACAATATTGTTCTATTTATAACTTGACGAACTGCTATAATCCAGTTTATGGTAAGTACGAAACTGCATCCTATTTCATACATTTATTTGCCACGTATGTTACTGATATGGGCATGGGAAAGGAGGATCTGTTTCGTATGTATGTATGTATGTATGTATGTATGTATGTATGTATGTATGTATGTATGTATGTATGTATGTATGTATGTACGTGTGTGTGTGTGTGTGCGTGTATATATTTACTTTATATATAAGTTTGTACCATGCATTGATATACACTGGCATTCTGTGAATCACTACTGCCATATTGCATCACAGGATCATAATCGTTATTATCTTGTCAAAGATGAAGAAAGCATTAAGGTATGACTCCTCACATTTCAGGATTTGTGATGAGGAATGCGACGATTCGGAAATCGTGTGCTTGTCAACTTCCCTGCTCATTCGCGACATATGATGTTAAGGTATCAGCTTCAAAATACCCATCAGATGTCTCTGTGAACATGCTCCTGTATCTTAAAATAGCTCCAGATGAGGAATATGTCAGGTAATTATTTCACGTGCAATTCAGTAATATATTATGTTGCTTTGCTATGGAACGTTGCACAGGATCCGATCACTGTTGTTTTAAATCCAAACTTTGAATCTTAATCACAAGAGATGCTTAACAGATGTCAGCAGAATACTTGCAGAGAACAGGGAAACAATCATTGGAAAGTCTCATCCTATACGTCGCTAGTCAACGTCACTTTTCGGATATTGCTGTGTATATCAAGTGATCGTGAGTTGACAAAATAGTATGGTAACCAACCATTTGTTTTATTTGAATGAATAGGCGACAATCGATAACCTGATTGATGGTGTGTCATCGTGACTCGACTGCATTGTTTATTGTAATGCATTGTGTTGGTCAAGGGGGATATAACTCCTTCCGCGGAAATATAAACCTTTGTTTCTGAAGATCTCAGAAGCTTTCAGTATGAAAGAACTATAACTGTGCTGGTAGGAATGGCCACTTTAGAATCGTCGCTCATATTACCCAAATTATGTCGGTGGAGAGTGTAATTTTGTAAACATGAACAAACACACCACAAATTCATTCATTAATAACATATAATTCACAGTTATTTCGTATTTTTAAATATAACGTACATAACTATCGTTTTGCATTTTTGCCGCTACGTGCTTTCAGGCTATTACTTGACTAAGGCACGTGTGGTCAGGATCTGAGGATCGTCGCTTTACATCCCGATTCTTAACTTTCTCTCATAAACCCTTATATTACAAGGGTAACGTTTTTTTCCAGGTCATTATCATTAGCACATTCCCCCATGCTTCTGCAAATGATAATGCGCTGGAAAGAAGCGATACCGATAATATCAGCAATTTTTTTCTAATTATACCTTTACATGATCACGACCCTAAAACTCGACTATACAAAGAAGCAGAACTTATGTCAAGCCTCTTAATCAGGCGACGTTTTGTTTGTTTGATTGTTTGTTTGTTGTTTAACGCCGCACTCAGCAATATTCCAGCTATATGACGGCGGTCTGTCCGTAATCGAGTCTGGACCAGACAATTCAGTGATTGATATCATGAGCATCGACACACGCAATTGGGATTCGAGGACATGCATCAACCAAGTCAGCGAGCCTGACCACCTGATCCCGTTAGGCGCCTCTTACGACAAGCACAGTCGCCTTTTACGGCAGCATGGGTTGCTGAAGACCTATTCGACCCCGGGTCTAATCAGGCGACGTAGTCAACAGAGAATGTGAAGATTATCTACAAACTTTCTAATCATGCAAGGTGAACATAGTACTTACACGATTTCGGCTGAGCTGTCACAATTTAGGAATTGCGCGTGGACGGCAGTTTAATATTCCGCGGGAATATAGAAAATATAAGGCATGCAACTTATATAGAACGATGAATTCCACTACTTGCTAATATGTCGAGCCTATGTTCAACAAATGTACCTCAAATCAAATATATTATATATACCCAAATATAAAGAGGTTTGGCATACTGTTATCATCTCCAAGCCCAAATATGGTTAGTTATATTTCACAGCAACGTGTTTGTAGAATGAAAATGTGGAAAAATCTTATATCTTTAGTTTATAAAGAAATCTGAAATACAATTCTCAATATGTAATATGTGTAATGTCCATCTGTTATGTATTACATGAATGTAGTGCATACTCGTTTGTACATTGCCATATGCATGTATACAAAAGCCTGTTGCCTTCACATACTGAAATATACTCAACAACAAAAGCTCCTGTGACACCAATATTTTAGTGTATTTTTCAAACAAGTAAAGTTTGGTTTTCAATATTGTAGTACATGAATGGAGTCAAGTCACAAAAAACGCAACTGCTACAGAAAAGCATGCATTCCATGCAAAAGTTGACTTTTATGCAAGCCCCATGCATTTCACTACCCAAGAATGGGTACAAAAACATGTTCGTTAACGGAATTCCATATGCATTGTTTAGCATGTTGCTGACAACAACCACTCAGAAAAACAACAAAATTACGCAATTTTTCAACATTACAAAATGCAACGCCTGTCCGAAAATGAGCGTCTGCGAGCCATTGGTATGCTTGAAGCAGGATCGAGTCAACGTGATGTTGCACGACAACTTAACGTCCACAGAAACACCATTTGGTGTTTATGGCAACGTTGGCAACAGACGATTGCAGTCAGAGATCATCCTCGGAGTTGCAGACCACGCGTAACCAATAATCGACAAGACAATTGGATTCGAACAACACACCTACGAAATCGATTCCAGCAAGCAACAATCACTGCAAGAAGCATCCCTGGCCTTCGAGGAATATCTTCACAAACCGTACGTCGTCGCCTCAGATGTGCAGGGATTGTCGCCAGAAGACCCGCCAGACGTCCCATTTTGACAGGAAACCACCCTCAAGCACGTCTACAGTGATGCAGATAGCTTCTACGCTAGACGGCCATGCAGTGGGGACAAGTTCTATTCTCTGACGAGTCTCGTTTTCACCTCAGCCACAGCGATGGACGGATTCGAGTGTACCGACGTCGAGGTGAACGTTACGTCAATCATTGTTTCATGGAAGAAGATCGTTTTGGGGGCGGCAGCGTTATGGTATGGGGTGGGTTTACAGCCAGAGAGAGGACCCGTTTGATAGTGGTAGAGGGAAATCTCAATGGACAGCGCTACCGCGACGAAATCATCGGCCCTGTTGTTCTACCGTTTTTGCGTCGTCATGGCCGAGGTATTACCTTTCAACATGACAACGCATCTCATATTGCTCGACTTGTTCAGGAATCTCTTCAACTAAACAACGTGAATGTCATCAACTGGCCGGCTCGCTCCCCTGATCTCTCACCAATCGAGCACATGTGGGATGAGATTGATCGGCGCCTTCGACGTCAACCACGTGTTCCACAGACACTCCAGGAACTTCGAAACATGCTTCAGCAGATATGGACAGATATCACACAGGACTTTGTGCGACGCCTGGTCCATTCCATGAGACGAAGGAGGTGGACACACACGCTGTTGATTTGTAAATTACATTTTGGCATGTTCATGATTTTTTATCAAATCACGCATTTTCTGAAGTCAGTAAGGCAAATTAAACCATTTGAACACTTACAGGAGTCTTTTATCTGTTGCAAACCGAAATTGTTTCAGATTTTGTAAAAAAAACATAACTTTGCATTAAATCTTATTCAATGTCACAGGAACTTTTGTTGGTCAGTATAGATATATCCGTGTGATACTTGCAGATATACAATAGATTACGTCCTGTAAGTTCCATTACCCCATTTAACCTTGCAAGTCGACTCCGTCATCAACGTCTGTTTTAGGAGATAACTGTACGTTGACATTGTAATTAACAGTGCAATGATTGAGAGTGCCTGAATCGATTGAATCTTGCACCTTTGCCGAGTTTCGAAAGGCATCTTAAACTTGGTACAAGATTGACCAGCCATCTGGAATCCGTCAATTTGTTTTGTATAACTCACTGCAGCTTCCTTTTCCGTCGTCATATAGCTGGACTCTTGAAAGGTGCGGCGTTAAACAATAACCGAGCAAATCTAAACTGGTGAAGTGAACATCTTTGACCCATAACTCTTCAGTTGACACGTTATGTGCCCGTTTGAACATCCAAGATGACAGACCAGTATCAAGTGATTACGATATATCGTAAGCGTATTACGATAAATCTATCTATTTTTATCACCAACATTATTATTATATAATTTCAGAGAAAACTATCTTGAAATTAGGATTTTCTATGAGAACCTGCTGGTTCATTCGACAGAGCAAACTCCCCAGTACACAACTGAGACTATCATTGGTAAGTACACATATGACATATTAAGTGCTGCCACTTGTATTACAAAGTTACATCAGTCACGTAAGCACTGGGAAGTACAACGATAACGGAATATATCAATGGCATGATCCAGTCCATGGTATATGCTATACATGAGGTACCTGTGTTGAGACAGCTTGCAAACCAATATAGACGCAATATGTCCATTCGTTTATGTTAGATATTCATAAGCAAGCGTCTTACTTATCATGCAGGGAATCCTTTACCTTGACATTTTTTTGTGCTGCCAGGTAACCTGGGAGGTCAGATGGGCATCTGTCTCGGAGCCAGCATCCTGACTCTCACAGAACTGGGAGAGTTCCTCCTCATTCTTTGTGTGACCCTCTTCAGAAGATGTAAACATGGCGGCGAAGTCAAGCATATCAAACCTACTCAACACTGAAAAAATACAATACGTGGCATTTAGACGATATCATTGAAGACCGGACCGGGTTGACTTGCAACTTCTTTATTCTTTCAATGCGATGTTTCGGTTCAAGTGTTGGTACCGGCAAACTAAGATTACATATATACTTAGAGATGACCCATAACAACAAAGGCACAAATGATGACAAAGGATGGAGCTAAGGGTCTGATTGCTGAACTGAACTGAACTTTATTACTTTTAGACCGTGCTCCATTAAAAGAACATATACATATACAGTACAAGTACAAACTTCAAAGTACACGCAGTTTTGCAACATAGTAAATAATAGTTCCAGACATATATTAGTATGCTATCTAAATCTTTGCATTAAAACTTTACACAAGTTACTTTGCACTGTTAGTGACAAATTTCAAGGCAAATTCGGAATGTTGGGATATTAACGAATATAAAAACGGATACAGATATTCCTCCCTTCTTTAAGAAACGGGCAGATTAATAGATAATGAAACTTATCACCGATACCTCTTGTATCACATAATGGACGTAATCTATTTGTTAACTGTAATTTGTTCCATCTGCATTTTTCAAATGGAAGTCGATGATTTGAAGTTCGAAAATGACCTATTGGTCATAGTAAATCTGTATAAATATGCATGCATGCTCGGCCAAGATATTTTTGTATATATTCTATATTTATATGTATATGTATTATGCTGTTGAAATAATGTTGTACCTCTGATGCCGCTGATAGCGGCCATAGTGTAAACAAAGTTCAGTTCAGTTCAGGTATTATATATTCATTATCCAAAATGTGAAGATATGCTTAAAAATATGAATATGAAAAAAATTATTAATACTTTATATGTAGTACATTTTGAAGTATTTTCTATTTCGTTTCTCAATACCTGTAGATATTAATCATGAAATCTTGAGGAAATATCATTATTTGTCGAGAACCTAGTAAAACCATTTTGGGTTTGCCATATATAACTGAAACCCAAATTATTCGGGTAATTTTTCACAAAGTCAATCCATTCATGTTTATAATGTTCAGATTCTTAATTTAATTTTACCATTTTATATACAATATTAGCCAACTTATTAGATTTACTTTGTGCAAGTTTGGACCAAGAACTCAATATGTAGTTTGTGATGTCAATATAGAAAGGAGACAACCCCGATACTCCATATAACATTTTGAAAGATGTATTTTTTTCAAGACTGGCAATATAAGTTTTAGATAATGTGACTGTACATTTTCTGAAACATATAAGTTGTTAAAACCCCAAACTCAAGACTCATAAAACATAATTGGCTTTACCGTTGATTCGAAGAGTTACAAATGACATTCTATGAGTAAGTGATGATACCTAAGTTTCCTTGGGTTGCAGTTTGTGCCAGTGCATTTTGAAAATATGTTTTAGTTTTGTAAAATAACATCGTCACATAGCTTAAACACGTCTTTTAGTTTTTCTTTGTGTTGTCAAGTATATATATAAGAACTTTAGTTTTACTCGAATGTATAGCTATAGCCAAATTGTTTTGTGTACAGTACTGTGCAAATATATTCATGGTATACTTGCGATCACTAGCATTGTCTGACATCAGGATAGTATCCTCCGCATACAGAAGTATTATAAACCATACAGACACATTTAAAATACAATCATAATGAGGAAATATAAAACCATTGCACATCTTGCTGTATAGAAATTAAGGAACAATGTGTAGATACAATTGGTAATTACTACAGGATTAGGATGTGATCATGATTATAGTTGACGATGTGAGAGTAGGCTGAAGGGATCAAGGTGACATTTATTAAGTTGCAATCCATTGTCAATCCTTATCTTCGAATAAACATACCATTGCAAGTTTACAATAACTATTCGTCATTGTGATGATCCAACGAATAGGTGCGCAGGTAATTCTAAGGAACAACATTTGCAAATTAAGTGAGTGAGTGAGTGAGTTGGGTTTAACGCCGCTTTTAACAGTGTTCCAGTTATATCACGGCGTTGCAAATTAAGAGTTTTGCCTACAATTGCATGCCCAAATGTATATACATGCACACGTATATCATAACTATATACACATTGCACCCTTTCTAAGATTGAGTATTTGCCTCGTCGACTTGCAATTATTAAACATATTACTTGAACGATGTACATTTTCATCGGTTACATGCATTAATTTTCGACTTTCATGAATTAATAAAGAATAGGACCTCTTTGCCTCATGCTTGTTTTAACAACCGATGTTTGCTCATACTGGTTAAAACAAGATATCAGTTGTGATGAAGCTTGAATCTTGCTGATCATTCCTGAAATACACAATGAGACTGTTAGTCTGTCGGTTCAAGGAACCAAACCTATGGCATGAGATTTCCCCTTGACTATGTTGCAAATTAGAGCTTCTGGCGTTTTGTGGTGGGAAACAAGATCGTCCTCAGCCTCTGCTCAGTCCCATATTATGACGTTATTTATAAATAAGTAAAAAAGGACTGATGTAACTCATCTCATTTTTGTTTTGTCTGACATATAACGGCAGATAACAGTAGCAATAATTGATGGGAAGCGAATATGAGATGAGATACGTATTGCGAGAGTCATGAGTGAGTGTGTGAGGTAATATTTAAAGTCACATCGGCAATATTTCAGCCATAAAGTGACTATATCAAATTATGCAATACATCAATTTAGAATACAAACCTGTCGACAAAGGACAGTAAAAGATCGAGATTATCACAGATGTAGGTTTAAAACTAGTAAAGATATCATAAACTTGATTATTCATACAATACAATACAATACAATACAACGTAAAATTGGGCTTTATATCACCAGCAACCTAATGTTAGGCCACCATGCCGGGGACCATGGGGACTTACAGTATCTTTGCTACCTGCATGGACCTCGGCAGGATCTACACCATCCCTTCAGTTATTGGTGATTATGGAGTTTAGACAAAATTAAAACAAACAAATAATCTACGATTAAAAACCTGTGGGCTTACGTACTCTCTCAGGGGACAATCATTTTACGCTACTTAAACCACTAACAATCGCAGTTCGTAATCATATACTACCAGTTTATAAAATATATCACTTTCTACATCAAAAGTTATCAATTAATTCAATTTCTTTCAAAAATCCAAGAATTGGATGAGAGTTTATGTTAAAAAGATCATTGAATGATGAAACTTTGAAATGCTGATCCCTCGTGGTGGAAAATCAATACAGTCAAGCAGGACATGCTGGACCGTGATTCTCTCATCACAAAGGATACAAAACGGAGGATCCTCACCATTTAATAAATATTCATTTGTATACCTGCTATGGCCAATACGACATCGTCGCATAATGGCCTCTTCAAATCTGGACTGACAGCCCAAGCAGGTGTAACCGATATTTGGTTTAATTTCATGTAATTTATTAAAACCTACCTGGGTGTCCCACTTCTTTTGCATTAGATCTCTGATGTAACATCTAATTACAGGTTTGATATGGATGTATGGGATACAAGGTGGGGTCACAGATTTGTTGAGTGCTGCTTTTGCAGCAGCATCAGCCATTGTGTTCCCAATGATACCTACATGGCTGGGTAACCAACAAAAAAACGATGTTGCATTGGCCAGTAACTAAACAAAATAATAATTCAGTAATTTCAATTAAAAGCGGATGTTTATGTCTGTTTTAAATTGCCTGAAGACAAAAAAGAGAGTCTAAACATAAAATATATTGCTTATGTTTGGATTGTTTACTTATGTACTCTAATGCTGTTAATATGGCCTTGGATTCGGCCGTAAAAATGGAAGAGTTATCTAGAAGTTTTAAAGATATTGTCCTGGATCAAAAAACTGGTCCTCAGATCCATCTGTAAATATATATTTATAAGTATCATCTTTGTTTCTTAATTCATTATATTCTTGTTGATGAATAAGTTGTTTTGTTTCAGATTTCTTTAATTTAGTTAATGATAGATTCACCTCTGGCGTAACTATTGCCACGTCGGAGAAGACAAAACTTCCTTGGGGGCTAAATTTTCGGGATTTATTTTAGCAACAGAAATATGAGGTTTTATTCTGATTCCAGGGGATGGAGTAAGAGATGGTTTTTTTTATAGTAGAGTTCTTCATAGAGGGGGTTAAAAACACAACAGAAGGCTGGATTGGAGTACTGGAGGCTGGATGTACTGTAAAGATAACTTTATGCGACGTTGTTTAAGTGATGGTTTATCAGCCTCCAGATACCGGCTATAAAACGGAAATGTTCTAAAGGCTCCAATGCAAAGCCTCAGGCCCTAGTGATGAATAGAATCAAGTTTTTTTTGTAATTGCTTTTAGTAACTCCACCATAGATAATGGAGCCGTATTCAAGTTTATAGCGTATAAGCGTTCTGTACAGTTGGAAGAGCGTTTTCTGATCCCCTCCCCATTTTGTATTTGAAACCAATCAAATGCATTCAGGCATTTAGTCTTAAAACAATGTATGTGTGACAGAAAGGTCATGTAATGGTGAAACATAATACCAAGAAACTTTCTTTTACAACTTTGGTAGGAGCACCATCCAAAAATAAATCCGGGTCCTTATGCGGCTATTTCTTTCTACAAAAATGAATGCAGTTTGTCTTGACTTTTGAAAACTTAAAACCATTTTCAAGAGACCATTTATGAATTTTATTTATACATAATTGAAGTTGCCTTTCAATAGTATGCATATTTTCACCACGACAGGAAACGTTAAAATCATCCACAAAAAGTGATCCGTCAATCGAATCAGTTAAAACTTTTGAAAAACTATTTATCTTTATGCTGAATAATGTTTCAGACAAAATACTGCCTTGTGGAACACCCTGATCCTGATTATAATGATCAGACAAGGTCGAACCCACACGGACTTGAAATTGTCTGTCAGTTAAAAAATTGGATATTAATTGAGGCAAGCGGCCTCTCAATCCAACATCATGTAAATCTTTTAAAATCCCGTGCTTCCAGGTAGTGTCATATGCCTTTTCTAAATCGAAAAAGATAGACACTGCATGCTGGTTATTAATTATTGCATTTTTCACAAATGACTCTAACCGAACTAAATACTCAACAGTACTTCGATTTTTCCGACATACACACTGAATGTTAGTAATTAAATTTATTAGATTCCAAGTAGCGTGTTAATCTATTGCTGACCATGCGTTCCATGATTTTGCAAACGCAACTGGTCAATGAAATGGGTCTATAATTTGAGGGATCAGTATGATCCTGTCCAGGTTTCGGTATGGGTACAACTATGGCATCACGCCATAAGGTAGGAAATTTACCTGATGTCTAGATAGCATCAACAAATAACAAAAGGGTTTCTTAACATGGTTCTGGCAAGTGCTTCAGGAGTTGATAGTGTATATTATCAGCTCCTGCAGCGGTATCATGAGCTTGTCCAAGAGCATTATGAAGTTCATTGATTGAAAATATTTCATTATAATCCTCCCCATTATATGATTGAAAACTAAATGTTTTCTTTTCTTGCTGTTTTAGAAATTTTTGAAATTGAGTCACATAGTTAGAGGAAGAAGAATGTTCAGCAAGGCCTAGGGTTTCTACACGTTCATTGGCAATATCTGATTTATCAGTTAATAGTTCATCCCCATTCTTAAGATGACGGATGCTAGATTTCGAACCCTTACCTTTAATTTTCTGTATCATGTTCCATACCTTAGACATTGGCGTACGTGAAGTTATTATTTGAAACATAATTTTGCCAGGATTGGCGTTTATTTTGTTTAAACGAACGCTTGGAGGAGAAAAGAAGTTATATGAATTATATTGTCTCAAATTGATTTGATCATTATTTCTAAAATATGTTTCCTGTAAACAAAATGCTGATGGTTTAAAATCCTGTATAAGTAACTGTAAATCATTAATATTATCCTTTAGCCCCCTGCAATTCCACTTCTTTTTTTCTTTTTTAGTCAGGTTCGCATCGCCCTGAATGTTTTGGGTGTATTTTACACTGCCTGGTTCTGACGGAGTCGCTATGTGCCGAGATTGCAAATTCATAGTGTGAGATTTCTGAACTTCGTTGATGATAAACTGGTCATCCTTAACCAAAGAGATTAAATACTGACAGGAAGCAGAGGCTGTAGTGATTGTGACAACTGGAGTTCAGGAAGAGACTGCAGCTGGATAGGTTTTATTGGAGGGGGATTTAGATGGAATGTGTACTTATTGTTTGGCATCAGACTAAGAAATATTTTGTGTATGCTTTATTTTTAATATTTTTGATTCAGAAATAACTTAGGACAAGATTTGGACGAGGCCACATGCTCCCCGTCGCAGTTGGCACATTTGATCTCATGTGTACTCTCTGAACCCTCATGAGTTCCACTGCAAAGGAAGCACCTAGCCTTGCGAGTGCCAGTTTTGGTCCCGTGTCCAAACTGTTGACACTTGTAACACCGGAGTGGATTTGGAACATAAACCTCCACTCCGATGTTAAAGTAACCGACTGTGATAGATTTTAGAAAGGGACAAAAAGGGAAAAGATGAGTACTTGTTGGGATAAAGATTCCATCTTCTGATTAAACAGCAGTGACCCCTTGATTTTTCATTTCAGCAGCAATCTCTACTTCTGTCATGTCAGATAGACAGCGAGCGCGATCTCTGACAATGCCTCTGCTAGAATTCAGGGTCCGGTGCACCGAAACAACAACCTGGGTGTTAACAAACAGCTGTAGACCCAGCAGATTGACAGATTGCTGTCTCCGTGCACATTCCACAAGGGTGGAACCAGAACGAAACGTGTAACATTGGTTATCTATCCACAGACACTTTGAATGCCTTTCGAGATGGCGAAAGGATTTAGTTTTAAAGGATTGCCATCAGTAGATGAGGTGACAATGAATCGTGGCCAAGAATCAGCAATCTCAGGTGATGTTTCTTCTTCATCAGACGATATAGAATCGACATGACGACGTTTATTTGTTTTGAAAGGACCAGCTGATTTGTTGTGCGCCATGTTATTTTATTACTCGGCATCCCTGCTCCCCACCCGCCATCGAGTGTCAACAAGGACGGTGTCGCAGTGAAAGCCAACCTGCAACACCAAGGATACAGAGGTGTTATATTCCAGAAAATATAGACTTGAAAAGCTGTGAGATCAAAAAGAATAAGTGTCAGGCTAGTTTGGCCCATAACACTGTTCCCAAGAAACACAGAATTCAGAGGTCT